CTTTTTTCCTTCCTCACTACTTACCAATGATTGCCAACTCCCTCTCCAGTGTAAGCATTTGAAAACATTCTGAATAGTTCCAGAAGAGTATCTATGGGAATCAAAAACAATACGAGTCATTGAAATAATAAGTGGAAAGAAAAAGGAAACCTGTTTGAGCAAAGGTTTGAATTCCTTTGTTCTTTAGACTTTTTGCCAAAACTAACCTGGAGCATAGTTAGTACTTTGAGGTTCTCTCATCACTTTTAGCCCAACAGAAGAAGCACTAATGAGATAAAAGTAATTGAAAGATTCAAAAGCAGAAGCTTCTGGTCTGAATGGCCATCCCTTGAATAAATTAAAGCATTTAGTTTTTTAAATATTAAGTGCTTATTTGTCTATGTGCTGACTGCATTTTAAAACACAGATAGTGTGTTGGAAGTGACCAAATAAATAAGAATCATGCTGACCTATCTTATTAAGTATGTGAAACTAGCACTTTAGTTATCTAGGAGATAAAGTAGCTCTTGATACTGTGAATACTGTATTACAAATATGTCATAATCTTATATTTGATTTTAAAAGAGAAAAAGCTACTTTTTTAAAGCTAAAGAATATCTTTATATGTGTATTTATAAGAAACATCAAATTTATTTTAAAATGATTTTTTCTCCTATAGTTGATGAGGGTCCTAGTCCTCCAGAGCAGTTTACAGCTGTCAAATTGTCTGACTCCAGGTAAGCTTGAATTGAACTATAATTAACACATTATAATGCATTACTTAAAATATTATATATCCATTAAAAGTAGTGTATTTGAAGAATAATGAATTTGGAAAATGTTTCCTATATAATATAAGGTATTATATAACACTATTTAAAGGAAATAGAATTTTAAATTGTATGTATAGAACTACAGTGTCCAATGTGGTAGCCACTAGCCACACATGGCTTTTGAACACATGAACTATGGTTAATCTGAATTTTTATACACACACATTTTTTTATGTTGCATATTTAATTTTCTTTCAGTTTTTAACATTTACCTGTTTTATTACTCTGAAGAATTGCTCTGAAATCTGGCTATGGAAAATATCTTGGTATAAATTCAGATGGACTTGTTGTTGGGCGTTCAGATGCAATTGGACCAAGAGAACAATGGGAACCAGTGTTTCAAGATGTAAGTACTATTTTGTCTTTAAAAGCTTCTTGTCAATATAAGAGAAAGTCTCTAACAGTCAATGAGAGCATATATTCTAAAAAAAATGTAGAATGCAATAATATAAATCATTAAATTGGGAAAACTCCACATGAATTCATAACCTTAAAAAGATCTCAAAAAATAGTACAGCACAGCAAAAAAAAAAAAAAACAACAAAGTGAAAAAATAAGCTACAGACTGCGAAAAAGTATCTGCAAACCAT